GTTAAAAAAAAATATATATATATAAAAAAATAAAAAAATAAAAAAAACAGAAAAAGAAAGAAAGAAAGAAAGAAAGAAAGAAAGAAAGAAAGAAAGAAAAAGAAAATGGCTTCACTATTCTGTCATTTATGCAGGAAAGAGTAAGTACTAAATACAATATACTAAATACTCATTTGGGGGCTTTTTTTTTGCAGAAGAATGCGGATGTGCTGTTTTCCTCATTTCAGAAACCGAAACAGAAACGACATAGATGTCGAAACCCTAATAAATTGGATATAAACACTTTGACAGGAGAAGAAAGGGTGCCTGTTGTCAATAAACGAAATGGAAAGAAGGTGAACGTTTGGGAAAGGGAAATGATCTCCCTGTGTGATTTCTTATCCCAGAAAGCAGCATTTTATCCTTTTTAAGGAAAAACAATCCTGGTTTCTTCTAGAATATCTGTATAGGATATGTGCATGTATACCGGGGAAGGGGGGCGGGGGATGTACGTGCTTCTAGATCAATTTCCAAATGCTTCTCCCCAGATGGGTGGAGCTATGGCGCCTCCGATGAAGGACCTGCCCAGGTGGCTGGAAGAGAACCCTGAATTTGCAGTCGCTCCAGACTGGACTGAGATAGTGAAGCAGTCTGTAAGTACGAACTCGGCACTTCCATCAGGAAAGGGGTTTATACAAAACCGTTGTCCTGGGCTTTTCTTTATTTTCCATTGACCATTAATTATTCAATTATAACTTATTCTTCACTTAAAAGACATAATAAATCATCGTTTTTCCTATTGGTATATCATTAATCCAAAGTGGAAGAACTTGACAGCTCTGATTTACAAGGACGGTAGAGGAACACGCATTCACGGTCTTGGAGGTAGACTCACTACGGGCGGAATGCCCCAGGTAAACCTGGTTATTAACAGCTCACCTGTAGGATGGAATTCGCGGTGGTTGAGGTCACTAAGGTTAACTGGGAATTTTGATTTTAAAAGAAAGAATACAACTTCGCCTAAAATTTTTTTCCACTTCAGTTTCTTCCAAAAATATTAATTTGTTAAAGTCTGGATTTCTTTTTGTTTACTTGTTTCAAGTATACACTACAATTTCTTATTTTTCTTTTGACCTACAGTTCCAGCAGTCTTAGCACATGTATAGTTTCTTGAAGAACCACCACCATAATCAGAATACAGACAGTGCCCTCATCTCCCCCCACCCCAAGTTCTCTTGTAGTCTCCCCTCCCCCTCCCCCTAGTCCACGGCAGCTGCTGGTCTGCGCTCCATCCGGGGTTTTGTCTTTTTGAGGATGCCCTGTAAGCAGAGGCATAAATTATATAACGTTTTTAAGAGGACTTTATATTGAGATCAATCCAAGTGGTTGCACGTGTCAGAGGTTTGTTCCTTTTTACTGCTGAGCACTCCTCCGGTACAGGTACGTGCCCCTGTGTGCGGTTGTCCATCACCCATGGAGGGACATCTGGGTTGTTTCCAGACTTGGGCAAATATGAGTGCAGCTGCTATAAACCTTTGTGTACAGGTTTCGGGGTGAACACAATTTTTGTTTCTCCAGGGTAGACGCTAAAACGTAATTATAGTTAAATGTTCCAGACTTTTCAACTTCATTTTGATGTGTTGTTTCTCGAGATAGTTACGGACGCTGACAGCTTGACCTTCACCTCACCGGTAGAGTAGCCTTTAACCATTTTTCTGCAGCTCGCCATAATTCCGTGAGTGAACGTAGTGCCAACAGGTAGACTTTCTTCTTTCGTAAGTTTCACCATTGAGCTTTTAGGAGGGAAATGACTGCTTGTGTATCTCCACTCAGTGTCGATTTTCAGCGCATCAGAAAGGCCCACCCTGAAATTTAAGTTTTCGCCAGCAACGTTTATAGCCACTGTTTGCCTGTCCCCGTTTGCTTCAGGGTTTTGTTCCCGAGTCGATGTTTGACCGCCTTCTCACCGGCCCCGTGGTGCGGGGGGAAGGAGCGAGCAGGAGAGGACGAAGGCCCAAGAGCGAGATCGCCAGGGCGGCCGCGGCGGCCGCGGCGGCCTCCACTTCCGGAATCAACCCCCTGTTGGTGAACAGCCTGTTCGCCGGGATGGACCTCACGAGCCTTCAGAACCTCCAGAACCTCCAGTCTCTCCAGCTCGCGGGGCTCATGGGCTTCCCTCCAGGACTGGCGACGGCGGCCGCCGCCGCCGGAGGCGACGCCAAGAACCCTGCGGCCGTGCTGCCCCTGATGCTGCCGGGCATGGCGGGCCTGCCCAACGTGTTCGGACTGGGCGGGCTGCTGAACAACCCGCTCTCCGCTGCTGCTGGCAACGCCGCCGCCGCGGCCGCCGCCGCCGCCGCTCCCGGGCAGGGAGAGCCGGAAGACGGCGCCCCGAAAGCGGAAGAGAAAGGCAACGAGAACGAAGACGAGAACAAAGACTCCGAGAAAAGCACAGATGCTGTTTCGGCTACTGACTCTGCGAATGGATCTGTTGGTGCTGCTACTGCCCCGGCCGGATTGCCCTCCAACCCGCTCGCCTTCAACCCTTTCCTCCTGTCCACCGTGGCGCCAGGCCTCTTCTACCCGTCCATGTTTCTACCTCCGGGACTGGGGGGATTGACACTGCCTGGGTTCCCCGCGTTAGCAGGACTCCAGAACGCCGTGGGCTCCAGCGAAGAGAAGGCCCCCGACAAGGCCGAGGGGGGCGCCTTCCAGGAAGAGGAGAACCTGGACGGCAGCGACGCCGAGGAGAACCCGGAAAAGACCGCGGGGTCCTCCGTCTTCGAAGACGAAGGAGCACAGGGTGAAGAGCTGGACTCGCTCGATGGGGGGGATGAACTAGAAAACAACGAAAATGATGAATAACCAGTACCAGTTCCAGTTCAAGTGTTTAAAACTTTTGACAAGTGGTAGTCCTACTGTTTACACTCACAGTTAATGTTCATACCTAGTTTTATAAGCTGTTCTGTAACATAGTGTAGCAAAAAAGAAAAAGAAAAAAAAAAAAAGTCCAAGTCATGTTATACAGGTGTGTCAAAAGGTATCTTGGTCATTAAGTATTGTGCAGTGCATTATTTATTATCCCTAGGAGAGATGAAATTTGAGAGGTGATCATGTCTTTTTAAGGAAACTTACATAATGCTCTGCTTCTTCTTCTTTTTTTTTTTTTTTCCTTTTGGTACCATTGGTATTATAATAAAGAGCAATTTGTAACTGAGTGGCACTAATGGAAGGAAGTGCTGCTCAAAGGAAGTATGAAGTTATATATTTAATTTTTTAATTTTAATTTTTTTGCTGTGAAGGTCAAGATGAAATTTACCATACATATCATACTTGCTCATTTGTTTCCCTTTTGACTGTATGGGGGTTCCCACACTTGCGCATCCACACACATCCATACACTCTGACAATCTCCACGTTAGTGTGAACGTCTCTGTCCCGAGGCGCAGCAATAATAAGGCAGCTGTTGAATGTGAAGGGTCCCTTTGGAAATTAACCTACTGGGAGGGTTCTTGCCAGACAGAACTACAGTTCCATTGTCTCGTGGTCTTGTAATGCACTGGTATAAACAAAATAAATAGATAAATAAAGAGTGAGAGAAGAGAGAATCAGGTACCTTTTTTAAATTAAAGGACTTTGTTACTTTAGCCACAAAGCTAAAACAGCATTACCTCAGCTCTAAACTAGCCTTGAAGTTTACAGACATGACTTTGTAAATGTATTGTTTTTCTTTGTTGTGATGTCCTTTTATTTTTTTCTTTGAAAACTGCTATCATGTAAGATAAAATGTAAATTGCTGCCAACTGTAGTAATGATGCTTTTAATAAAAGTGACCCATGATATGCAGAGATGTAATTAGAGAATGTAGTATGTAGGGGAACTGGTGTTCACTCTATTTTTTGTATTCGCAATAGATGCAAATACAGCATTCTGGCCTTTGTACGGTTTCTTGCTATATCCTCTTATCCTAGATGAGCTGTTAGTAATATGCTAAACTGATTGTCTTCAGACCAGACAGGACGAAAAACCTTAAATTACCTTCGCGTAATTCCACTCCAGATATCTCCGCAGAACCACAGACAAAAACCTCCTATTACTCCCTCAAAAGGGCATCTGAGACTGAGAATACTTTAAAATGTGTGCAGCGTCTGATAATGTGGTACACTAAAGAACAAAAGGGCAAAAGAAAAATGAGGCTTTAATAGGCAGAATATCTAGGTCATTTATCCTTGGTTAATGGGTAGGAAAACACAATGCCGGAGTGTCAGCAAGGGACACAAAGGCGCTCTGGTGTCCTGCGGGCCGGTGCTTGATGCCAGAAACGGTGTGGAAAACCCATGTGGGATTAAAAGAGGCCCGCTTAAGCCACCGCGTGCGCACGCGTACAGTCTCGGGAGCTGCCGATCTGTGCTCTCCTTCGTGACCTTTGCTATTTGAGGTTAAATGTAATTTGAGAGCTACTGTTTTCACCTTTCATGTCACCTGACCGAACACAAAGCTCCATTTCCATGCAGCTAGAGAGGAGAGGGAAGGACGTGGATGAGCTGGTCTGCGTTGCCTCCCTCCGCGCCCTCCGCGCCCTCCGCGCCCTCGCCGTCCGTGCCCGACCGGATGTGCTACGAGACGGTTTGTCTAGATTCCTTACAGACACCAAGGTTTGGTTGATTTACATCCCGAGAAGAAAATCTGCCCGTACGATTCTGGAAAAGGAACAGCCTGAAGCCTCCATGTTGGAGACCCTATGGTAGCTTTTCTCCACCATCATTACTATTCTCTCTCGAAAGTCAAAAAATGTGTAGTTTGCACTGGAGGAAAAAGTGCCTTGAAGAGAGTATCTTCTGAAATGAAATTCTTTGAACGTGGGGAGGGGGGGCCGGGGGAGGGAGACTAGATCTGCACAAAGTGTAGGGAGTTTAAATATTTAAAGCGAAGATTTTTTTTTTTTTTTTTAAGCCTTAAAAGAAGACCTGAGGTAGGGAGGATCTATTTAATAAAATGAGTCCTAAAAGGGTCTTTTTCGAAAATACTGATAGTATTGGGAGTTTTCCTATGACCTTGTGCAACTGAAACGTGCGATGTGACTCTCTGTCAGAGAAGAAAATGCCAAGAGCAAAGGCGTCAGTTGCTTGTGGCCAGAAGGAGCCCTGACTTGAGAGACGGGCCACCAGCTGGCTCTGCATTATCTGGGATTTATTTGTTAACACGGCTTTAAAGTCATTCAGACTTCCATGTTGGAAAATGCATTTTTTTATTTCTTCTAACGAAATGAATCCTTGATGATAGATCTTGAATTGACCTAAGTAAGAAACATTTGGAATTCCGCCTGATGCTTCGTTAACTAGCGTTCCTGTGCGCTCAGTGTCCGTTACGTACTGAGTGCCGAGTGCTTTCCGTGGCATTGCCGCTTAATCTTACTTCTCCGTGAGGGAAGTGCTTTTCTTCCACGGGGAAACTGAGACTTACAGAGGTTTTGGAGTTGGCCGGCAGTGGGTTGGAACCCAGGCAGTCTGACATCAGAGCCTACCTAAGGTCTTCTGTGATACTGCACTCTTCGGTCTCTGAAAGAAAATCATTGTCTGATGATGATTTGAAGTGTTTGGGGCTTCTGTATTTTTACATTTCCCGCCCCCTCACCTTTCCACAAGGGATCTTAAATTTCAGACTGGGAATTAAGAGAAAGCCTGTGTCAAGTAGAACAGCATGAGCTCGGATGAGGGAAACTTGAGTCCTGGTGACTTCGTTTAAATTTGGGTCTATCTTGCCCCATGAATATTCCCATTTGATACAGAAATCAGGTCTTTGAAAGAGACAAACGTACTCAAGCCTCAGAGTTAGTACATTGCAAACCTGATATTTGAACCCAGATTGATCCAGCTCCAAAGCCCAGGCACTTAACTGCTGAGCTAGCATAATTCACCAGCCGTTTGTAGGGTGCTATGTGCTAGATGCAGTTTCAAGGGCGAGACTATCGCAACGAAAACACAACAAAACAGACTAGTCCCCTGCTGTCACGAAACTTACATTCGAGTAGGCAGAGAGACAGGTGATAAGCAGATTACAGATAAAACTTTTATAGATCAAGGCAGACTATTAAATAATGTAAGGGGGTGGTCAGGGAGGGGCGCTGTGGAGAGGGCAGCTCTGTTTACCGGCTGAGTGATGAGAAGCAGGAGCCAGATGAAGATCTGGTTGGAGAATGTTCCAGGCGAAGGGGAGAGCCGAGTGCAAAGACCCTGAGTTTGAGTGAGCTTGGAAGAAGGGTCTTCTCGGGCAGCCTGTCTACCTAGGAGAAAAGGGAGGAGGCAGGGACCAGGACAGCCCTGTCGGAGGGTTAGGATTTCCTTCTAGGTGCTGTAGAAAGCGCTTGGAAGGTTTTGTGCAGGAAAGCGGCATGATCAAATTCATATTTTTGAAAGAATCACCATGGCTGCCATGTGAAAAAAATGGCTTGTAAAGAGGAGCTGGGAATTCTAGCCGGGAGACGGCTGTAGGTGGAAGTGGATGCTAATGGAGGTGGAAAGCCGTTTGGGATATATTTCAGAGACATAGAGCCTCCAATTTAAAGTATGGGAATAATTTGAACTAATTTGGGGATTACTTCTTCTGAAGTATATCCAAAGGTGAAACCAACGTTTGCGATGCCTTTTTTTTTTTTTTTTTTTTTTTTTTTTTTTTTAAGGAATTCCAGGATTAACGTGACAAGAAAAGATACTAGGAACAGAAAATTTGCCTTCCGTGTTCTGTTACAAAATTCTCTCTCCAGTGAAAATTGTTAATTATCTTTGCGAAGAGTTCTTAGACGTTATTTCTAACAGGTAGGGGCGGTTAAGAAGGTCCGCGCATTGTTGAAGTGATGTGTGCACGCGGTGAACCTCACTGTGCCTCCAGAGCCATCAATAAATTTAAATTAGGAAGCAAAACAATGTAAATGACTTCTACTAACAAGCACTTAAAAGTTAGAATATATCTTATTCATTCAACTGGGCTCTCTAATGAGCAATTTTATGTATTTTCTTAGCACAGATAAGATTTACCACAGGTTTATAGACATTTTATAGGAAAGTAAACTACGTTTGGCAAAATAGATGAATACATTGCCTTCTGGAATATTTAACATTAAGACTCCTTCGGTGAAAAGCATCTCATCATTGAATTTTTTTGTTGGGAGAGCCACCCAATTCGGAGATTTTTGTGGCGGGGGTTAGGATGATTTACAAAGCATTTTGGACTGTTTACGTCATTTGTATGTTTTAAGGTTTCTCCTTAACTTTCTTCTCTGCACCCGTCCTTATTCTTGAGTCTCTAAACCAAAACTAAAACAACTCCTTGTGTATACGTGTTGGCAATGTAGCTCTAATCTTCTAATGGGTCTGTTGATCTGCAGATCTTACTTTGAATCTGCGAATGTAGAGTTGAATTTTAATTTCCATCTCCTTATTGAATGAATGTCTACCATGTAATTTAAATGAAGTTGAAGACTAGGGTGATGACAATTAAAACTTCAAATACAGTGTTCTTTCATCGGACATCTTTATCTTCAGAAGCATTTACTTGTATGATTTGTTCAGCTCCTAAGCCGATTGAAAGTTTTATCAATTGAACAAACATGGCAGAACCCACCTCCAGATGCTTACAGACAGTTATTTAAGTCCATTGGTGTCTCCCCAGTCGCAGCCCAGACCACCTGGTCATTGTCAGCCACAGTTCGAGAGACTTCAACTTGGATGTTGGCTGGGCGACGGAAACCTAAGCGGGCTGTAAATTTAATAGTCGGGAGAATACACGTCACATCTTAGAACAGAAAATTCATCCTGGTGGACGTGTTGGACCGTGTTTCCTTAGGAGTCGGGAAGCTCTTGACATGT